TTCCCCAACTCTCATACAGTCACATAGTCAGAAAACATAAAGTACCACATGTCCTTGAGAAGAACAATATAAACACTTGGCTTTAGAAGAAAGAAAGCTGTGATAGAGCTACCACATATTATTAAGTGGATTCCTCAGAATGAAGATTGGGCAATCTACTTCCGGAGAGATACCGCCTCAGAAACCCAAGGAGGGGTTGCTATGAGTTGAAACCACTCCTTGGGACTGAATTTGTTTTGATTTTAAGGGTTAGGAATTTTGTGTATATTACTGTGTATACTAGATATAGAACCACGAAAACTAATAATTTAGAACCCTTTTATAGACAAGAGAACTGAGGCAAGGCTAGGCATAAAATTTACCAAGTTCACAAAGATGGTTACTCAATAGAGCAAGGATTCACCTCAAATATCTTTGATTCCACAACTTAAGCTATTTCCTCTATTCCCACTGTGCCGTATCATAATTCTGAGATAAACATATGCTAGAAATAATACAAAATAACAGCATCACATACTGAAGTTAGTTTTTAAAGTCAATCAGCTGATATAGAACATGAATTTATATATATATACTCTGGTGTTGTGGTGATTAAGACATTTGGCTGTTAGGCAAAGATCAGTGGTTTGAACCCACCATCTAATCTGTGGAGGAAAGATGTGGCAGTCTGCTTCCATAAGGACTAATAGCCTTAGAAATGCAATGTGAGTCACTATGAGTCTAAATTGACTTGTTGACAATGAGTTTGGTTTTTGGTATGTGAGTGTGTGTGTGTGTGTGTGTATGCTTCTAGAGAAAAGTAATTTGAAAAATAATTTACATCCCTCCATGAGAAAACAATTATGATCCCAAGTACTGGTTTGAAGCTCATTTTCTATCTCTTCACTAGCTGCATTGATTATTAAATAAAGCCACTTATTCTGCTGCTACTGTTCTGGTTACCATCCATCAAGAAAATTAAAGTAATTCCTGATTTACACTTTTATTGGCCTAAATGTGTAGGCAATCTACTCTGATTTTCTTTGCTATATTCTCTGGAAACATTCAATTTTAATACAAATCTTAGTGAACTAGAATCACCTAATTCAAATTTAAGTATCAATGCATATACTCTAGTTGAAGAGTCAACTAGACTCTTCATGCTTCTATTTTGTAAGTGATGAAAAAATTTTCCACTTACCTCTGAAACTGAACTGCTCACTCAATTAGAGTACACTATGATTATATTTGTATCCTTAAACCAAACTCTTGGGCTCTTCTGGAAGTCCTTTGGGGATGTGCTAGGGAGAAAGAATGGCATCTTCTGGGACAGATAAAAAAGATGGCATTTTTTTTTT